CATTTAATTAAATGATGTATAACATTGTTATCTGAATGGAGAATTGTAAATTTCACTGTTAGTACAAGCTTCATTCCCACAGTAAATATAACGACTAACTTGGATGAATTTATTAACAGTTCTTGTTGCATAGTTAGAAAGCCAAAAAAATTTTGATAGTGAGGGGAAATTGTCTATGTTTTTCATGATATTATTCTATGTTCTTTGATGCATTATTTAATTAAATAAAAATTATTTAGTGCATTACTACCATTAGTATTTACAAAAAAGTAGGGTTAAGTGTCATCGACATCAATAACAAAGAATATTCAAGTAAGTTCTTTATTTCTTGTTTTTCATGTTTGTACTTTATTATTGTAAAAGTAACTAAAATGTAAAAATAGGGATCTCTTTAGGTTAGTTAAGGTTAGAGTAGGTAAAATAAATAATATGATAAAAATGTTTCACGGGGTATGCACATGAGCATTTGTGGGTAATGTAACTCAATAGCATAATGTGAACTCCACATTCCCAAGTGATTTACAACTTATATTGGCATGAATAGTAGTTAGACTCGTTCAAAGGGCAATAAAACATAATTATAAATAGATGTGTACTTTTACGAGTTTAAAGCTACTTAGGATAAATGAATGCTACAATTTGAAGTCATTCTAGAAAGAAAAAAAGGATAATTTAGATTTATTTTTATTTGGGAGGGGGATTACGAGGTCAGTCAAATTGACCAATGTTGTATAGAATTAGGGTGGAGAAAATAACAGATAAAATATAAAGTTTTACTGAAAAAAACATTTGAAATGTCTTGAGGAGGTTTTGAGATTATATAAATGAGATTTGAGATGAAGAAAAGTATTTTTAACCTTAACATGAAAATCACTTTGCATACAGACTATTCAAAACAAATACTCATTATATTCACAGACAAATGTTTTTTAGTTTATTTAAAATACTTAAAAAATATAATTTTTTGTATGTGAAAGACTTGTAATGTTTACTGAAAGACTGCCAAGTTTCATGAAGATATATATACAATATATTAAAAGTTAGTAGTATCAAATCTTTAAAGACTTCGAACGAGTACGAAGAGGTCACTTGGTCAGTTAAATTAACCGAGCCTGTGTTGAGAGAGTTAACTTCAACTAAAATCGTAACAGACAATCAAATGAGGAAGTATTATAGGAGAAAAAATTGAATTGGATTTGTGTAACTTATGAAATTTGGAGAAATCGAGGGTGAACAACCAACACTTGACTTTTATTATTATGACTGTAACAACTTTTATAATATTTCATGATAATGCTGTTAAACGACAGTAAAAAGATTATAAATTAAAACAAGGAACTTAAAAATTATTGAAAAATTTTATTCATATTAAACAACAGGCTAACTAGTGAGATACACTAGTGCCCTGATTATATGCTGTTTCTGTTACCTGTGATTTTTGCTTTTGTAGTAATATATTTTATGTCTTTTTTTTTTTCTTATGCAAGGTGTGAATAAGGCTTTTGTTCATTGTCACTGGCTTCTACTGTGTTGCATTATATTAAATTAACCAATTGTTTTATGCTCTGTATTTTGAAGATAATGCATATTTTATGTAAATGGTCTTTTTGTTCATAATTGTCTGAAGTATTTTTTGAGTATTTTTGAAAGTAATATTGTTACTACTCTAAACTTAGACTTCTTGAAACTGTCCACATCATAATAAACATGGTCTATTATAAGGTTTTAGACTTGATAGAACTTTTTCTGAATGTTGCATAATCCTCCATTATTTCCTGCACAATTTGCTGATTAATCCCATATCAATACATGTATCTGCATAGAACATATTTCTCACTCTACAGGGTTCAATCATGGCATGTGAATATCTTCTACTAAATGGTGCAAAAGTTAATAACATGGATGAGGAAGGTAAAACAGCTCTCCATTTGGCCACAGAACTTGGACATACAGGGTGAGATATTGTAATAAAACTTTTGTAAAAAAGGTATTGTAACTACAATATTTATGCACTAACTCAATAATGTATTTTTTGGTACTTCAGTGATTACAATAAGGTTTTCTAAACAGTAGGTCCCTATGAATCACAGTCAGCTGTGCATATATAGACTATAGGATATATAGGCTGAATTAGATTTTAAATCAAATAGAAAATGGTTTCCTTATTTAAGTAGAGTGCTTCTACATGCAATTAGTAATGAGTATGAAAGTAAATCTTTCTGAGAACAAAAGATATAATGTACTTAAACATCTGAAAGAAGAATGGTACAAAAGTATTCTTAAAAGAAAATGGGTTCAAGTATATAGACTGAACTAAAAGCTAAATTGTAAAGTCTACTGAAAGTGATGTAGATTCGAAAATATCAAATTGGAGCCCTAGCTAATAAATCAAATTGAATCTCAAAGCTTTGCAGGGCCCAACTAAACAGTGTATTGTAAATTATTCTATCAGTTGTATGGTGTGATATCCCACAAGAGATTAGTATACTATTTTAGTAATGGCTTTCCATGATATCCTAGCAAAGTTTTAGTTATATATTTTGGTGTTATGTTTGTTAGGTATTCTGATGGTGTGTTTTTTTTTGTCAGGTTTTCTAGTTTTGTTACAACAAGATAACTTAGCAGAATTTTGTAAATGCATTTAATTACATACATTAGCAGTCTTTAAGCAAGAAGTGTTAATATTGTTTTTTTTTAGATATTATAGTAATCGTTTGTATGTTGTTCAAATCATGAATGATAAAATACTTTTATTTTCATTTGCTATTGGGTTTAGTTAGTGAGGCAGTTTTAATGCTCTTCCAAATGTTGTTCTGAAATTTAATTTTAACAATTTCAGCTTATTTTTCTTAGACACTGCATTAAAATTATGTTAATTTTGTATGTTTAAGTTGTATTAATGGTTATTTTGATAGACAAGTGTGTCAGCTGTTAAAACGAGGGGCAGATCAACATGCTATGGACAAAACAGGAAACAATGCTCTTGCTATTGCTATCAATGATGCTAATGCTGATATTGTGACTTTGTAAGTTTGTTTTCTTAGTATTTCAGGTTTATATTTGCCAGATTCAGTGATTAATGTGGAAACTTTGTGGGCTTTACCTTCAGATTAAGATATGCTAAGTAAATTACACAGGCTTGTGAATTTAAACTTTATAAAAGTTGTTTTAGTTTTAATAATGGATTTACCATAATTCACCTAAACAGTTTTCTAAAATAATATTAATTTTTTTCTATCACGTGAGGATTTTTTACAAAGCGGGAAGAAAAAAAATAAACTTACTTAGATCAAATTTACCACAAATATGACAAAATATGTTTAGATCATTTACACAACCTCTTGTTGCCATAATGATGAATATATAATGTTGAAAAGAACAAAATAATGTGAAAGTGCATGCACAAACAAATACTATCCAGAAATGACATGTCATGTGGCCTATTAACCGTTTATTTCCTAGTGATGTGTTTCTCATGGGTTCTAGAATGATTGATAAGACTTACATCACGATTGGTATAGAGGAATCTATAGCCTGTGGTTTTCAACATTTTAAGAATAACAATGTGACCTGATTTCATTGAAAATGATTTACTTATGTAAAAGTACATATGACATTTTGTGAAAAATCTGTATGTGATGGAGAAAAATAGGATTCCATTTTTGGATTCAGCGTATGGGAATTATGTAGAACAGGTAAAATTTTCAAAACAATAAAACCATCACAGGCCCGTGTTATTTAAGATGAAAAATTGTTTTTTTAACTGTATATCAAGATAAGACTTTTTACCCTAGCTAAATGATAAAGCAATATACTAAGATTTAATGTCTTAAATAATTATTGTAAAATACCTTGTATTTTAGCTTTTCTTCAGGTTAACATTCATTAACTTGAATAAATACAAAGAAATAATTTGACTTACTGCAAGACAGAATTTGGCAAATAAAGTTGTAAAATTATTGTATTTTGTGTTTCACCTGTACTTCAGACTAAGACTTGCCAAGTTGAATGAAGAAATAAGAAGAGATGAGTTTGGAAACTCAGGTAAGATTAGTCTGCAACAGTAATATTTTTAGCTTACCTTGGCACAAGCATGATCACAGTACATTGCTGGGATTCAGAGGGTTGTTCACAATTCATAGTAACAGTTTGCTCATCCAAACACCAGCTCCTATCCATCCCCGTCGGCTGTGGCTACACACACATTGATAACCATAAACTTCATGTTGCAAAGAAGTTGATGTAGGGTGATTCCCAAAATTGACCTTTTGAAAGAGAGTGTTAAGTAAGAAACAGTGTAATTTCAGTCATAAAAAATAGCTACACTATTACTGACTTTCAGTTGCACATCAGAAATAACAAGAATACAACAATCCATTACATCTAAAATAGGAGCCTCCCCTTTTAGAAAAAAAAACATATTATTAAATCCTACTATAATCAATCATTAGTGTAATTAAGTACAGTTATTATAATTAAAACTATTTCTATTTTGTATATGCAGTAATTCTATTTCATTATGTCAACCAACTGCACTATCAGGTTTTCAAAAGGTAGCTAAATGCTGGAAATAAAGCTATATTGATCATTTTAACTGATAAGACTTTCATTCTTTAGAAACAAGGTCTTTAACAGTATATTGAAAAATGTGGTACAGTAAATGTGTAATAATCCTTTAAATATCTCAATATATAAACAAGTTTCACTTTAAACGTTAAATTCAGTAACAGTAACAGTGAATTTGTCCTGTTTCACTTAAATTTAAAATAAACCAAAACTTCACTGATGATAACAAACAGTAACTTAAATAGGGTAATTAGAGAACAGTATAACATCCTTAAACTATATGTTGGTAAAAAATATTGTAACATCTATGACTCCCACTGCTCATGCAAATTTACCTTTAATAATTTTTATATGACTGTTTCATGATAATGTCTTATTGAAAATAACTTCCACAGATTTGACCTCAGGAACACATTCTATTAGTCTACCATATAATTTACAGTAAATTCATTGTATTAGAATATTTGTTTGCTTTGCATAAATATAATTAATTTAAGAAATACTGATTGACAATTTATTAGATCTCAGCCACATTATCATGTTTTTTTTTTAACAGTTTTACAACATTTATTGACATTTTTGTGTCATGATATAAAAGACTGTTTGGTTTAAATATTAGTGATTAATTTATATTTGTGAGTGAATATTTTATTATTTTTAAGTTTTGTTATAATGAGAGTTAAAAGCAGATGATTGTAGAAGGCTTCATCAATAACTAATTGGTGTCGAGAATATAGAAAGTGGCCAGACGACTATGTAATAAAGATATAAATAGCGTGAGATGAGCGGGAAGCAGTAGACAGACAACAATAGACAGATAATGGTAAAAGAGAATATAGCTGTGTGAAGTTAAGTATCGTAGATGTGATAGGCCTAATGTTTAATATGTTAGAGTGAAACTAACAGTATAAAAAAAAAAAGATAAGAAGGATGATTTTATTCTGTCAAAGCGTGGATCTAAAGTAATTGAATCAGCCTGTGTACACTTTTACAAAAGGAATAGAGGATTTTCAGAAGAAGGCGGCCAAACAAATTACAGTAACTTGCACCACAACTGTAAGTGAATCACACACAGAATACTAGTATGATAGTAATAGAGAAGATGGTTCGACTTGTCAACTGAAATTCTAAATTAATTGAATAGGCCTAAATGAACTTTTGACAAGAAGAGAACTATATTTAAATAGTGTTTGTGATATGCCTGTAATCTCTATACTGTGAAGACTTTGTTGTGCTTACATTTAACTTGTTCCGAATATATATTATTTGAAAACAAGTAAAGTGTGTGTTGTTTATTCATCGTGGAATTTATTGATAACAAGTCACTGACACTTACTATAGAAGGATCCTAAGCCCAACAACAACATGGTATATATTTAATAATGCTTGGAGATGGCTTGAATGGGTAATGAAGAAAAACTTTAATATAAGTTTAACATAACAGCAAATGTACAACGTTTTGACAAGGTTTTGTCATCATCAGGT